CCTTATCATCTCAAATCTTGTTTCTTGTACCTTGGCATGTTCCCAGAGGATTATGTTGTCAATTGTACAAGATTGGTTCGATTGTGGATTTCCGAGGGGTTTGTAAAACAACGAGATGGTGCAACACTAGAAGAAGTTGCAAGAGAATACTTGACTGAGCTCATTCACAGAAACTTGGTTCAAGCAGAATCGGTTGATTTTGATGGTGTGGTTAGAAACTGTCGAGTCCACGATTTAATGCATGAGGTCATTCTTTCCAAGTCAGATGAACTGAGTTTGATACAAACTTCAGCCAAAAATTTACAATGTCCTAATCAAACAGCTCGACACCTCTCAATCAAGGATGAATCAAACAACTTGTCAAGAAGCAGCGGTTGCTCAAAAACTCATTCGATCATCTTTTTTGAGGTAAACGAATTTCCCAAATCTTTGCTCAGGTCATTGTTTGCGAATTTCATACTTTTGAAAGAATTAGATTTTGAGGGAGTTCCATTGAATTACTTACCTGAAGAATTGGGAAACCTCTTGCATTTGAAATATTTAAGTGTAAGAGATACAAAAGTAAAGATGCTCCCAAAGTCCTTAGCTAAGTTGCGCAACCTAGTAACTTTGGATTTGAAACGTTCTCTTGTTCGTGAATTACCAGTTGAGATCAATAAGCTCTCCAATTTGCAATATCTTATAGCTTATTCTGAGGATTATGATACTCGACAAGGGGTGAAAATACGCGGTATTGTTCGAAGTTTAAACTCCTTGGAAAAGCTTTATTATGTGGACATGAATGCACAAAATAATTTTGGTTTTATTAGAGAGTTGGGAAGTTTGAAGCATTTGAGAAAGTTGGGAATCACTAACCTAACATCAGAAAGTGGGAATGCTCTGTGCAATGCCGTTGAGCATATGTCTTACCTCGAATCACTACATGTTATTTCAGGAAAGGAGAACGAACTTCTCCAATTGCAATCAATGTCATCTCCTCCCCTTAGTTTGCTTTGCCTTCGGCTTCAAGGACGTCTAGAAAAGTTGCCTGATTGGATTTCTGAACTAAAGTGCCTAGTTAGGATTCGATTATTTTGGTCACAATTGTCAGATATTCCACTCAAAATTCTTGGGGGTTTGCCTAAGTTATTGGAGCTTCTTCTCTACAAGGGATACAATGGAGAACAACTGCATTTTGAGGATGGATACTTTCCGGTACTCAAGGAGTTATGGCTTGAAGGGATGGATAGATTGAATAGATTGAAAATAGATGAAAAAGGATTGTGTCTTGTTGAAAATCTTTTCATTGGATCTTGTCCAAGATTGGAGGAGCTGCCATCTGACATATGCCATATGAAGTGCCTTAAATATTTTGAAATTAGTGATATGTCGAAAGAATTTGCTCGAAGAATGCTACCGGATGCTGGCCAAGACCACTGGAAAGTTCAACATATACCAAATGTCTATTTGTACTTCAATAATACTCAACAACAATATTCAACCTACAAGCTCGGTGATTCAAGCTTGTTAGAATACTTGCATTAGAAGTCTTCTGAAGCTACAGGTACACCTTTCCAAAGTTAAAGTTTATACTAATTTGTTGCTTTTGTGCTTTTGTGATTCTATTATATTTACATTGGAAGGCATGTATTTTACTTGTAGGTGGTGCTTGTCTATTAATCCAGGATGGTTAAATTCCTTGAGAAATCAATCAAAAGAAGTGGTCATTTCTTTCCCATCAAGGCTGTAGTGTTGTTGATGTTGATCACTATTTCTCAGTGTTCATGATGTGCTTTTTTTTCCCTTGTGTTGTTTCTCCTAAATTTGTTCAAAAACAAAGCTAAGAGCTCTTGACAAGAACATTTGGAACAGGTTTGGAACGGGATCAAGATTATATATAATTTGCAAGAATGTTAATGCCTAAAGAGCTAGCTATGCTCAAGAAGTACATTAGCATTTAAGTTATTGGGAGGTGTAGCCGTAAGTCTAGTTTTTTGAAAATTTATGTTATCTATCTCCTTATTCTGTTGGCAATGCTTTTCCAATGAAATTTTCTTTGGAAATTTCTAACAAAATTGTTATGGTACAATCAATGAATTATGTACTTTTTCTGATGAGATTTTTCAATGAAATTTTCTGTTGAAAATTTTCAATAAATTTTCAGTAGAAAGTATTTCTTACGAGCCTTTTATCGATAAAATTTTTAATGAATTTTTACGTTGAAAATCTGTGGAAAGAAAATATTTCTAATGGAATTTTAATTTTTTTTGATGAAATTTTTTGTCGGAAAAAGCTAATTTTTGGTAGTGCAATAAATTCACACTCTTTACCCTAGCTATTTCTTGAAAATAAAATACTAGACTAAATGCCAATCTTTTGTTTATAATGTGATGTACGAGGCTGTTGTAATTGTTCGTCTAAAATACAATATTATCAGTTGTGCAGCTTTTTTATTTAGCGAGAAATTTGCATGCGTTAGGCGTTTTTTCCTTCCACAATAAATTTCAATTTTTTACACTAGCTATTTCGTGATAATGAAATATTAGACTTAATGTTTTAGTAACTTGATGTACAAAACTGCCATTATTTTTCATCTAAAATACTTTTAAAAATTTCCATAAAATATTTTCAGTTGTGTAAGTTTTTTTTAGTGAGAAAGTTGCATCTGCTAAGCTTTCTTCCCTTCAATAAATTCACATTCCTTATGCTATTTATTTATTGAAAATGAAATATTAGACTATATGTCAAACCTTTAGTTCATGATGTGATGTATCAGTCTGTCATTGTTTTTCGTCTTTTGATTTAAAATACAAAATTATCAATTATGTGACTTGTTTCTTTATCGAGAAATTAACATGTGCTAGGCTCTTCTTTTTTTTTTTTAACAATAAATTCACATTTTTTTCACTAACTAAAACAAAGATCGAGAAACAAAGACCTAGCTAATGAATTCATATTACAAACAAAGACCCATAAAAAGAATTCTGCTTATAATCTTTCCTTTTTTTTTGGCTTCTAGTATCTATAAAAATTAAGGACAGCATATGTTACGGGGTCATTACCTTCTCTCCCATAAACTCATAAACACGTTTATGGGGTGTACAGCACACCCGCTTATAAAGAACTTAGGATTTCTCGTTCCTGCTCGATGTGAAATAGAGACACTTTCCTCGTGACACTCTCTCCCATTCGATTCCAGCAACGCCCTCGTTGTCCTTGGCCACCCTACCTATCCTGAGTTCTTCTGAACCCGAACGCTTGGCGTGAGTCAGACAAGGTCCAGTCCACTCTAATACCACTTGTCACGGGATCATTACCCTCTCCCTATAAACGCGCTTATAAAAGTATGCAACCCACCCGCTTAGAACGGGTTCAAGATATCTCATTCCTATTCGATGTGAGATAAAAATACTTTCTCGTGACATTCTCTCTCACCCGATTCCGAAAGCTATAGCTTAATCGTGGCATACAAATACAATGCAATATCATTGTTCTCATTCTGCATTTCAGGCTGGTTTAGCAGATTCAAAAACAAAATGTCAACCCCATTTGGTTACGAAGATCTCTTGGAGTCTAAACTTACCAGCTCAATTTTTTTTGAATTCCTATAGAGCTTTGGATGCCAAGACAGTATCAAAGATGATGATGCCTCCATGGATTGATGCGTTCTGACAAGGAAAAGCACAAGCTACAATGGCCCACTTTTCCTTAACCGCAGCAATGGCCCCCTTCCAACTCCCAACTCTGTATAAACTAGTTATAATCAAAATCATGAAAATATAAACAATTTCTTGAGGTTTTGAGGGAGAGAAGCCTAGGATGGTTTCGATAGTTTCGAGAGTTTGGATCGTTTAGGCTCGAGTAAAGGGTTCATCTTTCGGTTTCTAGGCCGAGGTATAGTGGAGAAGAGATCCAAGTCAGCTGGCAAGGATCTTTCCGGTGTTAGTGGGTCCGCTTGGTGGTAGAGATGGTGGCCGGTTTCTGGGATATCGACGGCACCGTTTAAGATATCAAAATTAAAAAAAAAAGAATTAGAAGAAAAGCAAAGGTATGGCGGAAGAGGCTCAAGCCCTTTGCTGGGTGGTCAGAGGTTTGGTTTCCAGCAGAGGTGCATTTCATTTTTGGAAGAGGAGGAGAGGGCTGAAACAGGCCAGACTTAGGCCTTGTTGAGCTTCACCAAGTCCAGAAAACTTGGGCTTAAGGTGAGATTTTTTGGGCCATGTCATTTTGTTTCTTGTTGGTTTTTGTTTGATTACTTTTATGTCATTTCTATTTATTTTACTAGTAATTTTAGTTAAGTATGTAAGGTAAGAATAAATATATTTTGATTAAAAATAATAAAAAATATGTTAGTTTATGAGAAAATATGTATGTCCTTAAATATGCATCATAGGAAATATATGTATAAAAAATAGTTTAGTGAAGCTTAAGAAATATATATGCATAGAAATATTTTATTTTTTCTAAACTTAAGTTAATACATATAAAGTGATATGAAATAATTTTAAGGTTAATTGGTGATAATAATAGTACAAAAATAAAAGCATAAAGATAATATAAAAATATAAAATGATAACCATTTTAATCATTTCATATCATTATTATTCATTATTACTCATGCATAAATATTCATGTCATGCATTTTTGGGTAAATATTGTTGTGCAACAAATGATGACTCTAATGACAAGATTCTTGGGAGGCTTGTAAGGATAAGTCTCCTAGGAAACTCTATAAGTGAAAGAGTGATTTCAGATTTTACCAAAAAGATGGGAGGATTCAAGCTACGCTTTCAACAAAAGGTTGTTGTTTGTATTAAATAAACCGAAATTTACATCATGATTTATTATATGTTTTAAAACAAAAAATGTCTCCCATGATGAGGCCTTCTTAGGAAGTTTGTAAGGATAAACTTGCCTAAGAGAATTTCTAGGTGAGGATTCGTTTCTAGATTTTACTAGGAAGATGAAAGGATTTGGAAAACGTTTTCAATAAAAGACTTTGATTTGTATTTAATAAATTGTAATGTGCATCATACCATACAATACTTATTCTGTGCACAATTATCAATGCCGATAATGAGATTTCTTTGAGAAGCTTGTAAGGGTAAGTCTTCTTGAGGAATTCTCTAAGTGAGAGGATATTTTTGAATTTTACCAGAATAATGGGAGGATTCGAGAGATGACTTCGATAAAAGGTTGTTAATTATAATAATTAATTATGAATTTACATTTCATTGACATGCATGCATTAAAATGCAAGCAATGGTCCTAAGGATGAGATCTTTGCATGAAGTTTGTAAAGATAAGTTTCTCAAAAAATTCTTTAGGTGAAAGTGCATTCTTGAGTTTTACTAAAAAATGGGAAGACTTAAGGAATATTGTTAATAAACGATCATAGTTCGTATTTAATAAATTGAATTTCGTAACAGTCATCATCCTTGCCTATCATACTCATCATAAATATTCTCATATTCGAAATAAAGTTCAAATGATAATCTCGATAATAAGATTTTTTTTGAAAGTTTGAAAAGAGATAAATTTTTTAGGAAATTCTCTAAGTGAGAAGATATTTTCGAATCTTACCAAAAAGATGAGAGGACTCAAGAAATTTCCCCAATAAAAGAGATTATCTTTTGTTATCAATTAAAACTAAAAATGACAAATTGCAAAAATGAATAAGGATTAAAGAAATTTACGTATGGAATAAAATTAAAGATTGAGGCCAAAATAGGATAACAATTGAATATTTGGTATCGTTTGTTGAATGGGTGTTAGGAGGTGTTAATCCTTCACCGTGAGTAATCATACTCTCAAACCCAAATATAAAAAATGCAGACCAAGTTTTGTTCTCTAGGCGAATTTAAAATTAATTTAGGGCTTCTTCAAAAAAAACAAATTTAATAGGTAGTTAATATTCATACATAACAAGAAAGATTTGTGACGACTCCCACACTTACACGTTGAGGCAAACGGGTTCCCAAATTCAAACATAATGACACTTCCAAAGACTCGTATCAATGCCATAAACCTTGTGGCAAGAGCTTTTGAAAAATGGGTTGCAAATATGCATTTTAGATTTTTGAGGATTGACAGCTATGGAGATGCTAATATCACTATTAGCTTCGAACATTGTGATCATAATGATGGAGCCCCTTTCGAAGGCCTTGGTGGAACCTTAGCTCATGCTTTCCCACCAACTGATGAGAGATTCCTCTATGATGTAGAAGAACAATGGTCTATAAGTGTTACCCCAGGCAGCTTTCACTTGGAGATTGCTGCATTGCATGAAATTGAACACTTTCATGGTTTGGAGCACGGCTCGGTGTTGAATGCAATTATATACCCATACATCAAGTTTGCAATATCCAAGGGTTTCGATTGAGATGATATCGAAGGAATTAAGGTTCTATATAACTGTCGTTACGTGTGGGTGTGGAAACAGGTCTACCTTGATTTGAAAGTTTGGAGTCGTTATCAATCTTTTTTGTCTAAATGTGATTAGCTACCTAATTAAGCCTATTCCTTTTAATGAGATTCTAAACTTGTATTAGGTCTGTTTAAAATAATACAGTCTGGTCTACATGATTTAAGATTGAGCTTGGAGTATAATTACACATGGGAAGGAATTAGCATCCTGTGATGCTCATTCAAAGAACGGTACCAATTAATCACTTATTTTAGCTTTAATTATCGATCTTAAACTTAATTAAATTCGTATTCCCTTACTTATCATTTATTATATTTTATTATCTTCTTTATCGTTAGATATTGGAGACTTTTCTTGGACGCTTCCAACATTTTAGTGGGGGTTTTTTAAATCCTCCTCACCTCGAGAGCATTTGAGAAGACACATTTATCCCTTCAAAAAGGCTTCGTCATTGGGTTATACTAACCTTTGACAATGATAATTTTTTATTTTGGATTTTATATATTTTATTTTCCTTGTTCCCTTTTTATTAGATTATTTTTAATATTATTAGTTTTTATCGAAACATGAATGAAATCTTCGTCTTAAATAAATTTTCCTAGACCATCTCAACTCTCTGATAAAATCAATGAATTTCTTCTCACTTAGGGAATTTCTAGAGAAAGCTTATCTCTAGCTTTCCAAAAAGATCCCATGTTACGAGTAATTCAAATAATATTTTCATTTATAATCAATTTCTAACTACCATATTGATTTTTAATTTTCTATTAATTAGTTAACCATGTATATATAAATAGACATACTATATAATTTTTTAATGATAAAATTTAAATTAATTATTTGAGTTAAGGGAGTATTGAAACATAAAATTAAAATTATTCCAAGGCTTTAATGAAACACTAATTAAATTCCTCACCTAGGTGAAATGCTAATTAAATTTTTCACCTAGGAATGTCCTTTCAATTATTGATTTAGCTACTTGTCCTGCAACAAAAAAACAAAAAAAAATGTATGGCACCGCATCATTTATCTTTGCTATTTTCCTTTCAAATACAAGGAGACTCAAAGAAAAGCAGTGGGATTTGTCTGTTAACCCAGCCATGTCGATCAAGTGATCATTCACACATAAAAATTATTTGATTTATCAAAAAATAAAAAATAAAAAACAGAGTAAGACAAAGTTTGCAGCAAGCAAGGTCAGTGGTAGCACAAGGTGGGTAAGGTGGGCAAGTGGATTTCGACATGTTTTCTTTTGTTACGTTTAGATACAATAATTTGCTCTCTTATATAGCTACTATTTTGCCTAGTTGTTCAAAAAGAGTAAGACAATCATTCATGGTGAGTAAATCCTAGGTTTCCTTGTAAGAAATACAATTACAGCCAACTAACTATATAAGGCAATTACTTTTATGACCCCACAATTTTAAGATGATAATTTTGTCTGAATTTAAATATTTATTAATGTAAGTGATTTTTTTTTATAATTTTTTTTGAATAGTAATTTTTTTTTTATAATTAAGAAGGGAAATTCGAACCTTACTATTTAAGTAGAGAAGCATGCACCCAACAATGAGACAAATACTCGAGTATAAGTGATCTTGAATTTGAAGACTTTTTAATCTCAACAACTTCAATATATATTAATATATGATCCAAATAATTTCATACTTTGTTTTCATTATTTCTCTCATGCTTGATAGGCAAAATTCAAAAGTATCATAGCTTGATACACAAAATTCAAAAGTAGCATAGACCCAAGTCAAATTTTTTTTGTGTGTATTTAAAAATTTATTCATGACATGTTCTATAGCACATAACATATTCCATGCTATCTAATTTCCATCTGCTAATATCTTGTATCCTCATTACAATGTACTAACAATTTTGAAAAAAAAATTATTATTAACACAAATGGATATTGACCTTGAAAAACACAAAAAGCACAATATGTAATTGATACACTTCAAACCATAGCAAGCAGCCAAATAAGTTAATCTTACATGCATCAAATCAAACATTAATCTTCCTTGCCACAAGGCAAAGAACATTTTTTTTGTGCATAGTAACACCAAGTATCACGTAAAAGTCTAAGTCATCCTTGTTCATCCCAATCGGCATTTCCCAATCAAATTTGCAAAGAAGATTAGCAAAAGCAAGCTCCACGGTTGCAACTCCCATGTGGCATTCCATGACAACTCCTTCTGCCAGCACCAATTGGTATGAACTCAAAATCTAGTCCTTTGTAATCAATAGAGCTGTCAATAAATCTCTTAGGATAGAACTCTTAGGGGTTTTCCCAAGCTTCAGGATCCCTTCCTCCAGCCCATGCATTGACAAAAACTAGTGTTTTGGTAGGTACTGCATACCCTCCAACATCACACTTCCGAATTGTTTCTCGTGGCAATATAACAGAATTTGTTGGTTGCAGTCCTACATGTTTCTTTATCACAGCTTTAAGATATGACAACTTGATATCATCTTCATTTACAAAATCATTGTTTTTCATCAAATTTCTGAGTTCCTCTTGAACTTTCTTCATAGACCTAGGGTTCTTCAATAGAAAGGTCATAGCCCAAATCACTGTTGCAGCACTAGGGTCTGTTCCTGCAACAAACATTTTCTGCATAAAAAGCAAAAAATTGCATAAGGTTTTATTCCTACCTTGAAGTTATAAAATAAATGACAACAAAACATAATCAAGTAAATTTTATCTATAATCCTAGACCTTTTAAGAATGTTTAATTTTCATCCCTGACCTAAAACTCACATTAATTATTTGCAACCTTTTTAAGTTATTTCAAATCAATCCATCCTTCCATCTGTCAATGACCGTAGATTCTTCACGGAATTTAACACATAAGTGCCATGTGTATTTGAATTGTTGATGGATTTAGCCATGTGGACATACACCTGATTGCACATATTTTAACAATTTATTGACAGAAGGATGGATTTGAAACAATTTTAAAAAAATTACGAATAGATAAATATGAAAATTTTAAATCAATGATGAAAATGAATAATTTTTTAAAAGATCATATATTGCAAATAATAGTTACTTCTAAAAGACCAAAGTAAAGTTTTGAGTGAAGATCGAACTATTAGCACAGCTTTTTTGTTATCAAAAGTGAGATCAACTTGAAATACAGGATCCTTCCAAATTTGAAGTAAAATATCAATAATATGCTTTTACTTTGATTTTGTCCTATTGGGATCAAGATGTTTATCAATGAGTTCTCGATGTATCAAAGTCTTTAAATTTTTTTTCAAGATGACCAAGTAATCCCGTGAGTCTATCAACCCAAGCCATGAAAGGAAGACAGTTAGAAACGAAAATAGTTAGAAACGAAAAAGCTCCCTAAAATGGCTTGAGTTTCCTTAAGCATCCCATGGAATCTACTTCTTTCACTACCTTTATCATCATACCTCTTGCCAAAGGCTGTTCTACAAGTTATTGTACTTGAAACATACATCAACAACTCACTCAAGTTTATTGGTTTCAAATCATCAAATGATTTGGATTTTTTTCAATCATACGAGCAACTTCTTCTTCTCGAATCGGACAATAAAATAGCACTCTATTTTGATTAAAGAGATGAACGATGCAAATTTTCTTAACCTCTTTCCAATAAGAATTATAAGGTGAAAAAGCCAAATCTAAGGTATTATAAGACAGCTTGTGCTGGCCAAGGAAACAAGGCCTACTACAAAAATCAAGGTCTTGAGTTTTCAAGATGGCTTTGGCCATTTCTACCGAAGAAAAAACTAGAGTTGGTTTTAGACCGAGTTGCAAAGACATTAAAGGACCATATTTGTGAGAAAGCTTCCAAAGATAAATATGAGGGGCCGGTGAACTACTAAGCTGGAGTAAGTTACCAATCAAGGGAAGACCAAAAGGGCCTGGGGGATTGTGTTTATGTTTTCTGCCAAAGAAGAAGATCAAGATAGGGAGAGCTAGAATAACAAAGAAAAGCAACAATCCCATTGTAAATTTTTGAATTTCTAATCTAGTAATTCACTCAATGAAGCAAAACTTGTGAAAATCCAGAGGACGAGTCCCCCCTTTATATAGACTTAGCCCATTATTTTTGAGAAGGAAACTTTTTAATGCTTACTAGGAATCAATAAGTAGATTCATGACACAACAAAGACTTACTGCTAACCAAGTTGTGCTTGCACATGCCATTCACTAACTTGACCTGCAGGTCGAGGAAAGTGGAAAATATCATCCTTCTTGCAAGAGAAATATTAGATTGAATTTTAATCTATGTTCATTTGTAATGTAAAATATTAGTACATCATGTTTGGTTGGGGGAAAGGCTTAGCCATTCCCCCTCTATTCCTTAAAAAAATTTCTGTTCTCATTGGGTTTGTTTTTGGGCAAAGAATAACCATTCCAAAGGAATGACTATTTCTCAAAACTAGGCAAAAGCTTGGAATAGCTAATGCCACCTTCTCCTATGGTATTAGCTATTCCACACCCATGGGAATAAAGTTCAAACATTTTGGACTAAAATGTCTTTACTTACTTTCAAAAATTACAAACTTAAACTTATAAAATTAATATTTTAAATTAAAATTAAAAAAATTTATAAATAAAATATTAATATTTAAATGATGAATTATTAATATTATAAATAAAATATAAATTAATGATATTTAAAAAATAAAATAAAATGAAAATAAATAAAGATAACAACATTTAAATTATAAATTAAATATTATTATTTTTAATATTAATTATTAAATTATAAATAAAATATTAATATTTAAAC